AAGGTGATTCACCTTAATGCGCGCTGAAATCAATGTGAAATTGAACTGAAAATTGAACTTTCAGCTCAGTAATGTGAAAGACATGTTGTTATTAAATGTTTTCCTATAGTCATGAAACTGGTTGACGGATATTTGAACGCTTGTGAATGCTTGTTTTCAACAGCCTGGCATCATGGTGTCCTTGGTGGAGACCCTGCCATTGGAGACTTGCCACAGAAACAGAAATGATGGAGCAGCATGCCACCCAGCAGGCTCTGATTAGTCGGTGTAGGAAGCTAGAATCAGTGTTGGTGAAGACTTGACTGGTCTCAATCTTCGCGGCATCTGTTGCGCCCACCACATCCGTTTGGCAAGACAGGTATTTTGATGGAGGCCTGCAGATTTCTAGGCCTCCCTGTGATCTCCGCTGCTCCCCTCAAAAAAGTCACCCAGTTTTCCCGACGGATGCTCTGTGCGTGCTCGCGCGTGCATGTGCGTATGTGCGCGACGATGCCAGCTGGCACGAGTCGCCATGGTAACACACACCGGTTTCACGAAATACGCCGGTGCTTAAGGGCAAGAGGAGAGATGAATAAACTAATGAGATTATAAATTATTGTCGGTATAGCTGAACAGTCGGGGTATTTTTACCAGACTGCACACGCGGGCAACGTGAAGAGAAAGTTTATGGGGCCCATTGTCTGTGACTCTGTTGTGTCTTCGGTAATCTGTTTATGATGAGGTCCTGAACTGGCTCCTCTGGTGAGGAGGAACCCACCCTGCGCGCTTTGTGCCTCATTACAAACTAGCAGTTGCGCGCCGCCTTACTGCATGATTAATTTCGGCGCCTCGTTCCCTATTTTTCTCCTCTATGAATTACTTTGTTGTGTTTGAGATGAAGAGAGGATTCTCCATCATTACGCATGCTACAACTCCACGCATTGCACGCCTGTCCAGCGGTCCAGTGCCGCAGCTCTCACGGGCTGCACTGTGGAGAAGCGGACCTGCATCCTAAAGCCCAACGTTTTCCACCCCTACTTTCTCTCTCTCCCGGTTTTTATCCTCCACCTCAGTACAGGAGAGGAGAGAGAGGGAGAAGAGTGCGGCTGAATGCGAACGACATGTCGACAGTCAGCCTCTAAAGTGTTTTCTCGGTCGTTCCCTAATTCTTTGGCGGTGGACTGAGTGAGTATTAACCGCATCCCTGCTCTGCTAAGCGTCGCTGTGTGGATCAGAGAAGCTGGTGGGGAGAGACAGACAATGGGGAATGGAACTGGATTGCGTTACTCTGCCAAGGATTTTCATACATAGCCTGGTAAATGTTTTAATTGGTTTTGTTAATGACTGGGCTGTTTAATTTGTCAAGCTTTAATCCTGCTAACTGTTACAATTTGTGTGCTGTAATGTTAAAGGCTAATTGATTTTCTTGGAGGGTTGTGGGCTATCCAGACTTGTAGCCCCATATACATTTGATCAGTGATGCTGCTGCTTGCCTGATAGTATGGGTCTGTACTGGCATCAGGGGCCCATGTAAAAGGCAGTGTGAAGCTTGGCAAGGCTGTGTGTGTTCTGACTGACAGAGAGGACAGAGAGGGACAAAGAGGTAGACACTGGAATTATGTGACATGAATAATATGGTGAAGAATAAGCAGTGACCGTCATCTCTGGTTTGCTTGCGTCAGTGTGTGGGTCTAGAGGAGAGAGAAGGGAAAAAAGTCAGAGTCAGAGAGACTCAAGAAAGACAGGGAAGCCACACCTGTGTCAGGCCTGTCTTCAGATGGACATGAAGTCAGATAGATAAATAGATAGATAGATAGATAGATAGATAGATAGATAGATAGATGGAGAGACAGATTTAAATTCAGCTGTGCTGTCACCATTCAACACACAAATCCTTTCCTTTCTTGTTACCATAATGATGCAGAGCTATGTCGACTGCTGACTAGTCCACTTGGCTGATTGGAGAAGGAGGAGTGTTGACTGTGTTTCTTCTTATTAAGCAGAGATGGCCATCCACCAAGGCAAAATCTAACAGGAGGCATCCCAGTGATGTCTCTGGACTCAGTATTGATCTCCTCTGTACTGGGGGTGGATTCAGGCCCAGTGAGAAGCTGTGTATTTCTTGGATGAAAACAAAGACCCAATGGGACTCTGAATGGGTTGTATTTTGTACTGTGATCCAATTTACCCAACACTATTGTTGGCCTGTGTTTCTTGTGTGCCATAAATACTCCAAACACTTTGATAGACTGGTGATTTTCTTTCCTATCTTACAGCAAATGCAAGGCAAAGACATTTTCCCTTCTGTTCATGCTTTTATGAATATTCTAGGAACAAGTACTGCAGCAGGTTTGTTATGAAATCACACACATCTTGCTACCTGTTTCTGTACTTGGCAGGCTATACAAGCATACTTTTTGGATATGGTTTGACCTTTCTTGCATTGTTTTCAGCACACACACACAGACATGTAACTTGGCTCCAGTTCTGTTTCTCTGTGAGGCAGGCGTTCACTGTGTGCAGGGTAGAGGGGAGGGGTTTGATGTAATCAATATCAGATTTCAGCTGTTTCACTGTGAGCTCTCATCCTGAGTGGCAGCCTTGACTGACTTCTTACTGCTTATGCAATCCCACTCTATTCTCCCACCTCACTCGTTTCCTGTGCCTTTGTACCTACTCCCTGCCCATTACTCTTCCTTTATCTATCCATCTCTCCTTTAGTCCATCCCTGCTCCCTATTCCAATTTTTCCTCCTCCTCCTCTTCTTGTTTCTACCTCTCACTTCATCTTTCCCAGTCATAATCATCTCTATGATTGCTCTTCCTCTCCTGGGCGGTGATTTTTTCACTTCTGCCTCCTTGTCTAACTCGCTGATGCTAGATTATTGCTGTATGATTACAGCTACCATACCATCATGATCATCACTGCATTTCGCATGGCAGTGTTCAATGCTGTATGAGCAGACCGAGATGCTTTATCCAATTTAGAGCTCATTAAGATTTGAGAGGAAATATCCCCAATGCAAGCCTCACATCTCTCTTGTTTCTCTTTTTTGTTTTGTTTTTGTTTTCGGGACCGCTGCAACTCTGTTCTCATTCTGTTGTTATTGCAGCGCCATTCTCATCATCATCACCATCACCATATCACCATCAATCCACATTCCTGCCTGTCACTGCACTGCCTTCACATCAGCCCTTTTGAAAATTCTGAAGAGTTTTCATTCACAGCGATGCTTTCGCTCCCCTGTCATTATGACAACAATGATTATGACAGAACTCGATGGCTGATAACCTAACATATTCTGCTGATTGATAATATGGGGTATTTTGCACCTCAACCTTGTGTTGTCTGATTGCCATTCATCTTATTAAATGGAGCAGTTCATTAGACAGAAGCATTATGAATCTGATTTGCATTTGCCCATATTCATATTACATACATTACAACAACACATGCGTGACATTTCAGCTTCACTGGGCATTTGAGAATCTAGATGAATATATTCATCACAAGCTTTCCCCCCCACTTGTGCAAAAAGCCACTCTGAAAATGATAAAATGTGATTCACAGGTGAACTAGCCCACATGTTTGCCTTTGTTTTGCATTTTCAGTGTCAGTATTTGAATTTTTAATTTGGATGCTACACTGTAGCAGCTGAGATGGTTCAGCTTGTTGGTTTCAAATCAATATTTCTTGCTTTTGTGAACCCTGTAAATCCAAAACCTTTGCTTTCTTGTTCAGAATACATCTTACACATGTTTACCATGGTTCAGTACATATCATGGCACACTGTGGCCTCAGTGGGCCTATTGTTATTCCAGTGCAATGTAATTCATTCCCCATGGCACTCCAGTTTGCGTGATTAAACTTTTATTTTCTGACTGTTTTAGTATGCTTGTGATGTGTCATCAATCTGATTCATCCTGAAATGACTATTGCTGTTGCCTCCCTTTGCTGTTTGTGTGCGTGTTTATGTGTGTCTGTCTGTATGCATGTGCCGGTCTTCGCTGTGCAGTGTGGTGAAGGGCCAATGTCAGGCTGTAGCCCCAGGCTGCTGAGCTGAGAGGGTGAAGCGGGAGGATGCAGTGGGTCACTCTGGCAGTGGTCCTGGGGTGTGTGTGTCTGTCCCATGCATCGCACACCCCCACCCCTACCCCCACCTCCACACACACCCCTCTGGTGGACAACTCCGAGGAGGAAGTGGACGAGTCATGCTTTGAGCCGTGTACGTGTGAGGTCAAGGAAGGCGTGCTGCACGTGCACTGTGATGGGCGGGGTTTCACTAATGTCAGCCAGGTATAACTTATTTATGTGAAACTGCACTTTACTGCACTCATTTAGCTCATTAATATCCTGTATCTCCAAGTCTAATATTCTGTCCGTAATGTGGTTTATGGGTCTTTCTAACTGTTAAGTTCATATAATTAATAAGATAACTAATCAGACCTGTAATCAATCATTCAGGTGTCACAGTCATGGGTCCGCCCTTTCAAACTCAACCTCCAGAGGAACTCTCTGAGGCGTCTCTATAGCAACGGGTTTCTGCACCTTGGCAACGCAGTGTCAATAAACCTTGGAAACAATGCGCTTCAAGACATCCGAGTGGGAGCGTTCCACGGGCTGGCCAAACTCCGACGCCTGTACCTCCATGAGAACAAGCTGGAGGTCTTCAGAAATGACACCTTTGCTGGCTTAGAGGCTCTAGAATATCTCCAGGTAGTGTTAAGAACATAATCCATGTTAATTTTTCATGAGTGACAGAATTATTGACGAATTGACAACACATAGCTGTGACAGAAATGATCATTTGCTACCAGGTGGCCAACATGAAAAAATCTTCCCATATTTTCTGTGCATTTTCAGATTGAAAGCACCTAAGCTTTCCTGCTGGATTCAGTCTGTTTTTCAATTGCAATGATTATGTGTTCATCCTAGTTTCTTTTTTCCACCTGTAGGCTGACTACAATGTGATAAAACGAATTGATAGCGGTGCACTGAGGTTCCTCTACAAGCTCAGAGTTCTCATCCTCAATGACAACCTGATCCCTGTCTTGCCTGCGCATCTGTTCAGGTCAGACTCTGATGAATATTCTGCAAAGCTTTTGAATATGCCAAGACTGAGCTGTGGAGATATCACTGTTAGGAACAATTAACCAGTCTGTACTATTGTTGAATTAATAATTCTGTGGCATTCAGTTTCATACTGTATCATGTAAGAGAGATTAATTATCAGATATAAAGAAGATTTCTCAGCAATGGGATGTGTGAACCTTTATTTTCACTTATTATCACATTATTCTTTCATCTAACCTGGCTTACTATCCCCCTCCTTCCCTTTTCTTCTGCACCAGATCTGTGTCTCTGACTCATCTGGACCTGCGGGGAAACCGTCTGAAGAGCCTGGCATATGCTGGGACCCTGGAGTATGTTGGCCGTTCCCTGATGGAGCTACAGCTAGAGGAGAATCCCTGGAACTGTGGCTGCGAGGCAGTGCAGCTACAGCAGTGGCTGGGTCAGATCCCCTACACAGCTGTAGTTGGGGATGTTACCTGTGAATATCCCTTCCACCTTCACGGCAAGGACCTGAGAGAAATTCCCCGGAAGGAGCTGTGTGCTGACCTGCCAGATAAAGAGCTACAAGGTGGTCCATCAGCAGGATCCCAGCCCCAACATTTGCCCCCTAACTCTAAACCCAACTTGCATCCCGGGCGCGTCAGGCCAACTAAACCCTCCTCCATGGTCCATGGCTCTCGCCAAAACACTCACACCTCCTCTACTTCGTCCTCTTCTTCCTCAGCAGAGCGCAAAGACAAGGAGAGGCACCCAAGACCGACTAAAAGGCCTCGACCCTCCAAAACATCCCCCACGCCTCGCAGTCTGATGCCCAATCAGAATCCCCCTGTGGCTGGCTACCAAACACGACCCCCAATCCCCATCATATGTCCCCTGGGCTGCACTTGCAATCTGCACATCACAGACCTGGGTCTGACCGTCAACTGCAAGGAGAACGGCTTCCTCAATGTGTCCCAGCTAACACCTCGGCCCCTCAACGGCCGCAAACTCTACCTGAGTGGAAATTTAATTCAGAGGATCTACCGCACAGACTTCTGGAATTTCTCCAGTCTTGACTTGCTTCACCTGGGGAACAATCGCATATCCTACCTCCAGGAGGGGGCCTTCTCCAGTTTGACAAGCCTGAGGAGCCTCTACCTTAATGGGAACAACCTGGAGAGGCTCAGCCCCCACATGTTTTTAGGGTTGCAGAACCTAAGGTAGGATTTTCCTTTTTGTTGCTCTTGCTGCACTTCAAACTAGCTCATAATCTGAAACCACACGTCAGCTCAGGTATCTAGACATTTGTTCATAAGTATGTGCAAATTAATCTCACTCTAAAACTGGCAAAGTACAGAGCAGAATGTTTTGATTACCATTATACTGGGGTTTGACTGAAATGAAAGGTGCCCATTCTCTTTGAGGAATGTCATTTTTTAGTGACATGCTGCCTGATGACATGCTTCAGTTGAGGTGTGAGCCTGGTATGAGTGACAACGTGAAAATTTATGTTTTTTGTATTTGCATACAGAAGTGTTGATAAGAAACGTCTGAATGTTGCCAGGAATTAGGGCTTCTGGAAAACGGCTTACCGTACAAACAAGCCATCAGAATGAAGCATATGTATCATTGTCAGATTAAGGATACAAAGATAATTCCTCTGCAAATAATGTATACAACAAAAATCTACATCAGTGATTCTATTTATTGAGTTAATTAAACACTGTGATGTTTCATTAAGACAGCAAATCGATTTTAGCGCACTGCTATATAAAGAAGATGAAGGTTTATGCCATGGTACCTTCATATTCAGAACATCATTTAGCCTTTAGTTTTCAACTTTACTGTCTCTATATTCCAGGATAAGGGTCAAAATATCTACAGATCTTTTAATTTGACTTTTAATCAATAATACAGATGCTCTCAGGACATTCCTTCCTTTTAACCTCTCATTAGCCTTTGTTAGTGACACCAGTAGTATAAGTCATTTAAACCAGATGTATTACTTATTTCAGCGATGGAAGTATATTAGATGACAAGCATGCAATGAAAAGTCTACTGTTATACTTAATTTTCCTAAGTTCACACAGATTTCTAGTACTGAAAAAAAACAACAAAGTTTTTTTAATTCAACGTGATGATCAGACATGCCTAGGCAAGTCTAAGTAGTCATCCATGTAAAATTGCACAATATTGATCATCTAATCAGCTGTGAACAGGGAAAGTGCAGATTAAATAAAATTTCTAACATGAATCCTTTGCATAAATATTCACCGATGTCATCATTATCATTCTGGAGTGCAGGAAAGGCAAATTACATGCAGAACACTTCAAAAGTAAATCATTTAAATGTGAAAATTCATACTGCGCACTAATTAAGAATCAAGAATAATGTTTTTATAGCAAAAGACAAATAATCAATGACATATTTTTAATGTCAGATATCATGAGCTAGAGATGTAGTGGTGAAATTTAACAAACCTATGCTGCATTTAGTATATGATCCCATTTACACAGTCTGTCCTCAATTTCTATACATGTACTCTAAAACTATGACACTGTCCTCACCTCTGTTTTAGGTATCTTTATTTTGAGTACAACGAGATCCATGAGATAGATCCAGGGACATTTGATTCCATGCCATCCCTCCAGCTGTTGTTCCTCAACGCCAACCTGCTGCGGAGCCTCCCTCTTGGTGTGTTTTCGGGAGTTAATCTGGCTCGCCTCAATCTGAGAAACAACCACCTCCTGCAGCTCCCTACGGAGGGCGTGCTGGAGCACCTCACCGGGCTGGTACAGGTTGGTGCAAAGCTAAAAATGCATTTACTGAATGACTCAAGTGGATTCAGTGCGGGTGGATGCTTGAAAAAAATCACTGATCTGCTAACCTGCGCGTGTGTAAATGAGTCAGATACCTGGCACGAGGCTTTTAACAAATTTAGGCCAAATACCATGCGCTCCTGTTGAGTGACAGTGGCAGGGTGAAAAATTTAAATGATTGAATTGGCTCACCCCCACTGATTTACTAAACAAAAATATGCATAATTATAAAGAGCATATTTATTTTAAATGTCAGACGATAAAATTAAAAGAACTAATAAATTGCCAAGACACATCATATTATCACAGCTTGATGAAACAAACAAAACAAGACAAAATCTTGGATCAAACCACATTTAAAACTTCTGGCAGCCCATGATCTTCTAGCCTCTGGCACAGCTGCAGTTTTCTACATCATCTGCATCGTCTGTTGTTTTGAGAGCACTGCTGTGGCATGCGGGACTTTAGTTGCGCCTCAGGTATTCTAATTGGAAAATTGCAATTGACTTGATTTGCATAAGTGGTCTTAATAAATCAGCAGCTAAACCGGAGAAAGCTGAGTTTTTGAGCAAGGTTATAATTAACACACCTCTTAGTAAATAGACTGTATAAACTACAGTATGTGTTAAATTCACAGCTTTTGTTAGGCCTTACCTTGCACATTTAACTGCAGCATTATGTTGCTGGTTGCTGTGCACAATGCACCGATAAGGACCGAACCTAAGGTATTACTCTTTTTTCCCTTTTCATCCTGCCTCCGCTCACTTCAGCTAATTTACTGTACCAGGCTTTTCTTAGACAGGCAGAGTAGAATGAGGTAAGGTGGGTGTGGATTAGCTGGAATGTCACTGTGAATTTCTGTTTTACTTTGCTCCATGAAAAATTCCAAGGTAGTGTGGGTGAGGCTGGCAGTTCAGAGGCTCTAAATGTTTGCTCAGGGAAAGGATGACAGTGGTTTATGAAGCTGGAGGAACCATGTAGAAGTGTATTATGTTTTTATGCTGTTATATCCCTCTGATGTCCAAGACCATTAAAGCATTCACCAAATGGAAGCACACTGTGGGCCATATTCATAAAGCTCAGCGGTATCATCATTGTACTGCTCAAAATCTGTGGTACAGTAATTGAATTCATTCATTTACCAAGGTTGTTATTACTCCGACAAAGCCACATTATCACTGCCTATGGACTGCACAAAATAATGTGACAATGATATCACCTGTTGACTTATTGCTGGCCTGTTTGAAGCTCGGGAAGTGGGATTTCTGGGCACTGGTGTATGTTTTTGAAGCCAGAGTTTGCACAGTAAAATCAAAGGGTAACACAGATGGAAGCAGGGTGAAGCTCACAGCTGCTGTAAAAAGCAACCCATTTTGATAATCATAAAGCAGCAACATGTATAGCTTAGCATCTCTGTCACTATCAAGGACACGATTATACAGTCACACCCACTTACATGCTAATATATTTTTGAAAAATACCTCCCTGATGTTGCTAGTATTTAAAAATAATAACCATGAGCGAGACATCAAAGAGACAATCAAGATTGCTATGGTGTCTGTAATTTCTTAATCAGAGAATTATTAGCTACAGAAGAGCTAATGAGCCTTACTGTAAGTTAGATGAATCAGCATCTGAGTGGGTGCCAGAAATATGTACAGTTCAAGGACACATATGTCTCTGTCAGTAAACACAAAGAAAATGTTGTGTAGTACTGGGCAACACTCACTCATCACTGCCATTGAAGAAGCTTGCCACGGTACACCTAGTGTGATGTCAGATAGAAAAACATTGCATTTCACAATGAACGGGTCTGATAGGAAACCAGCGTGTTTAATGCTCAACTAACATTCTCCTCATTATTAGTTTTACATTATTCTGTGTTAATACGTAATCAACAACAAATATTTAGCTTGACATTTTGCTAAATATAATTTTTGGTTTGTTGGCCCATTAGACAAGAAGCATGATATCACTCCATCATACATCCATTCAGTATAAGACTACATCCTGCTTGTTAGCTTCTATAGCATAAAGATGGGAAAAGGGAAGCGGTTAGCCTGGCTCTGTCCAAAATCCACCTACCAGTGCCTCTAAAGCTCATTAATTATCACAATATATCTACTTTCTTCATCCCGTGCTATTTCTTAGCTGCAGCATCAAGCTACAGTAAATAAATCTAAACCGACTACACTCAATTAACATTGTCACTGACTAAGTCATTGACTTTTAGCATCCCAGCTCCTTCCAGTGGGATCAGAAGGATTTAGCTCAGGCATGATGGACAGTATATTACTCTCTAGTTGAAAACTTATTGGACGACCAAGAAAGCTACAGAAACATCATGACTTGATAATTCTGTTGTAAATAAGTGGCTGTGAACAGTTGTACTTGAAAATAGTTTATGAATATGTCCAGTAACCAGCCACTGACTGAACTCGGTGACATGAACAAAGAAGTGTAACTATGTGATTCGATATTTCCACCTCAAATTATTATTATGAGACCAGCATAGGATTCGTACAGTTGAACAGTAGCAAGGTTGTGGTTAATGAATGTTAAGTGGCTAGTGATGTCAGATGATGACAGTCAAATGTTAAATTGAGCATAAACATGTATTCAGTTCTAAAACTGAACACAGAGAGTTGCTTTTAACCACTAACATCTTAACAAATCAAATCTAGTAACTCAGTGTTATTCTGGCCATTATTTTCAGTTGGTGGTTTCTATCCTGCCTATTAAATATCATTTTAACATAAAGCTAATCAGTGACTGTGTTCATGCAGTGAAAATCTATGATATAAACCACCTGAAATTGCACTTACAGTACAGCAAGAACATCACCACCTCAGGTGTTTTTAGCACGCTATCTCAATTAAAGCCTCTGAAAATCCTCCACTTCTAGTTGTTGTGAAGAGTGGCCAGCAAACAAATGTATTTTCCATTTTAGGACAGGAGACTTTAGTCTCATTGACTGTCTATCACACTATATCTTATCTGTAGAATTAAATGCCAGTAGAGCCTGTTTAACTCCTGCCTGAAAGATACTGTAATCAGAATATACTCATCATGTCAGGTCTAGTTCTATCGCAGTTGGCAGCACATTCCAGACAGAAAATCTAGATACCCAGCTACAGCAGCGTTAAAAGTCAGCATTTGTTTTCCCTCAGAAAAAAAGCTCAAGGGCTTCTTTTTAGACTCACCAAGTTGCACTGATGTTCAGCAATCACTCAAAGGCGCACATGCCATTTTCTCCACTGACAGTAGCCTCAATAGACCAGAAACTCTTGCTCTTTGCTCTTTGCTATTACTACCACTCTCTCCACCTACATGAAACACAAACCACTGGATAGCGCAAGTTCATGCCCCTTCTCAAGGGGTTGTTGAAGTCACTCTGGGAAATATGGGAAATCACTATCTGAGTTAGAAGTCGACGAGGCAGGCAAAGGCAGCATGAGTATACTATGAAAGTAAATCGCAACACTTAAAAAAAAACCCTTCCTGGAATGCACTCAACATAACAGACTGATGAAATAATTGTTTTGATGCATTTCTCTAGTTTTGTATATATAACATCTCACCTATACTGTAGCCATGAAGACAAATTTCCAGTATACACAGAAAAACTGCATATATTGCAGATTCCTCTTCAAATGCACACACACACACACACCACACATTTTCTCTTTGTATATTATTCAAAGACAGTGAAACACATTCATCAGTATGGAGAAGCCTTGACAAGCTAAGCTCAGGGGCGGCACGTCACAAGAGACTACAGCAAAATCCCTGCACCAGAACTTCCAGAACTTGCATATATTGACAATATTTCTGTGAGCTAACTGGAGCGATTGGAATGACTGACAGGATATTGCTGTTTGGGCAAAGTGATCAATTATACGACACAGCTCGGTGAGCACGTCCTAAATTTCTCCCTTGATGTAATTTTTTAAATAGCTTTCAAGCAGGTTCTGGACAATTATTGCTTGATCTTTGATCTGGGTTATAATGATAAAAACCCACAAGAGCAAACTTACTGCAGCTAAAGAGTGGCAGTTTCCATCCAGAAGGGATCTGATCTGCCATTATTTAAGCCAGGCTAAATATATTTTCTGAGAGAGAGAGTTTTTTTTATGTGTGTGTGTGTGGCCCAAAATCCATGAGTTACTATCTTCACGGTGACTGGAAAAAAACTTGTGAGGACTGGCAGCAGGTCCCCACAGTGTAGTTTGTTGGATTTTATGAAAATGATAGGTTGTAAGGTTAGGGCAAGTGTAGGATTTGGTTAAGCTTAGGGTAAGGGTTAAGGTTCGGCAAGTAGTGGTTATGGTTAAGGTTAAGATAAGTCTACAGGAAATGAATGTAAGTCAGTGTAAAGTCCCCACAGTGATTTTCATGAATTTCTTTCTGAATATGCAGCAGCAAAACATCCAAATCTACAGCATTTAAATAAGACTCTGGTAACTGGTTTTTCCTAATACAATGTGTGTTACCTTGTTAGTGGAATGCGTTTACTAAAAACCTCCATGTTCATAATAAATATATACTATAATGGTTTCATGCGCTTGCATTCCCACTGCAACTTGCCCCTGCCGGGTTAACTGAGAGTCTATAATTTCCCTTCCCAACACAGCTTTGATTGACAAAACAGTAAATCGCACACTAGGTGACCAGGCGTATAAATTGTAAATGGTGTTAGACACACAGGACAGATGCCTGCAGAAGAGAAGGCGATAGAACCTCTGGGATCTGCAAGAAAGAAAACAGTATCTGAGAATAAAATGCTGCAAGAATTTCAACCAGATGTGAGGCTATAGTTGTGAAAGTTATGAAACTGCAAAAACAAGCTGACATTTTGGTCATATGGTGTTTATTTAAAATGTCACTGTGTTTTTTAATGTTCAGTCATGCTACATTACAGCTCAGATGTGTTACAAAACTGCACTTTCAGTGTGCCTTTAATATAATGGAAGTGTTCAAACTGAGTTAAGACTGCAGCTTAATGTTGTTTCTGCTCACCCTCCAGTCTCAATTATGTCATTATCAAAGCCACACAAAAGCCCACAGTGGGTTAACTTCAATAAAGCTAAGGAGCATCCTGCTGTTCAGTGTGAGGCATGGGGAAATAGTTGTACCGTGGCTCCCACAACAGCAATGCTGAATCATCTTGAAAAGCATCCATCTATTTCTGCAAGCCAGGGAGATGGCCTAACCAAATTAGCATGACAACATTTGTGCAAGCTCCTTGGAAGTGTGACAGAGAGAATATCGGCTTTCATTGCCAATGTCATTGCTAAAGATATGGAACAGATCAGTTCTGCAGACAACACGGCACGGTGTAAGTGATTCCCGTTGTGCGTAATCTGCTTTTGCCTTTTCAAAGTGCGGCAAAGTGAATATTTGAGTTTGTTTTAGGACATGCAATCAATAGCTGGCAAAGAGAAAATGGATTTACACACATACCTATTGGATTATAGTACATGGGAGAGTCATGTCTATTATTGAAAACAAGGTGCTGTGATAGATACACTGACATGGTCACTACACAGTACCTGCCAGTGAATTACCACTTATGTAAACTCTGAAAATTCTTTATTATAAACTAAATATTCCTATAACCTGCTGCACTTTTAAGAGAGCACTTACAGGAGGTACTAGTTGTAGTGGTTACTGCCCAGACTGTCTATTATTGAGAATATATTATGCCTGTGTACAGCCATTTGGAAAATGTATAGTATAAGCACTTCAATATTTTGATAACCTTATTATGACATTATTTAAATTAATCAATGCTATTTATTACCAGCACATTAAAAAAACATTTAGAGACACTTGAATACATGGAGAGCTATATTCTATTATGCAAATGCTGAGAAACTCATTTTCCATTAATTCTTGCTGGTGAAAGGCAAAGGTAGCAGAGAAAACACCATTTTTCTTGTTGTCATCTTATTAGAGTGCTAACTTCTGACTTATTCTCCAGCACAAGACATTTTCCAAGTTACTTATTTATATCACAAGAATGTCAGCAAAATTATCTCTTTCTTGTTTACATTCCTCACAGTGATTCATGAATTTTGTATTTCGTGGCAGACCAGTAATTAGATTGCTATTACACAATGACAACACACAGTGCTGTTATGTATCCCTTCAGGTGGACCTGCAGCAGAACCCGTGGGAGTGCAACTGCGATGCAGCTCCACTGAAGCGTTGGCTGGAGGGGCTCAGCGCGGTGGTGGTGGTAGGAGAGGTGGTCTGCCATTCCCCAGAAAAGACCAAAGGTGTAGACCTGCGGTCCCTCTCTGTGGAGCTGCTCTGCCCTGAGCTGGAGCCCCAGGAGAACCAGGAGCAGGTGGAGCAGACAGCCACCTCCACAACTGCAGACACAGGTGTATCGGTTGGCTACCCTGGCCCAGGGCTGGGCCCCGTGGTCCCTCCAGGGAAGGATTCAATCCCTTTGTCGGTGTTAGTGCTCAGCCTGCTAGTGTTGTTTGTCTGTGCATTCTTCGTGGCGGCGGCACTAATCGCCTACGCCCTGAGGAGGAGGGACAAGCTGCCTTTCCGTCGCCAGGGAGAGGTAGACTTGGCCGGCATCCAGATGGAGTGTGGAATCTTCACTGAGCAGACGCACCACCACCATCATCACCATGGCCTCCCTGAGACACCGCCCCTACCTCCTCCTGAGCACAACCATGTCTATGACACCATCCTGCCCCCAGAGGCTGGGCCTAAAGGTCCCGGCCCTGCTGCAGCTTCACTCATGTGTAGCAACCCCATCTACAAAGAGGCGCAGGATGCAGCAGTAAAACAGCGACCACAGCAGCAGCAGCAACAGACATTTGCAGCTTCTAAAGAAACTGAGGAAGGATACTGCTCTACGGCAGAGAAGGAGAGGGAGTGGACTCTGGATGTGTCCTCATCGCCCATTAACACCGTTACAGGAGCAATGGGACCTCTCGCTGGCCTTCATGGGAATGGCATCCTCTGCCCCACAGTGATCGACAGCCAGGGCCCCACCCCTAAAGTTGAACTGGTGGACTGCCTCTTCAGACTCCCTGCCCCCGAGTTCAGAGACCTGCCAGACAGGTACGCGAGGCCACCGCCTCGCTATCCTCACCCTGAAGACTCCAAACAGGATGCCAGACCTGACCAAACGCTCGTGGTCACCACCTCCAGCTCCACAGCAGGCGGTGCTAACAGCAGCCAGAGCGAACAGGGAGCAGGAGAGCAGAGAGCCAGACTGAGGACCACACCAGACTACATGGAGGTGCTGGACCGCTCATACCAGTTTTAACACTCCTCCTCTTGCTACCCCCCTTCTCTTGTCTTCTCATCATCTCCCTCTCTGGTGATGAATCATCCAGTAACAGTGACTCCTGTACAGAGGCTGCCGTAGTTTTGAGAAGATCCTGTGGGGGAGCGAGACTACACTACACACTGTTTATTCCTGAATAACAAGCTGAGGTCAGATTTTGTATTTTCCCCACTACTGGCATATAGGTTGGTATTTGGCAAGGATTAGATGGTCCCTCTACCTGGAGGCAAAACCTCAGCTGCAGCTGCTCCAGTATTTTTTCCTCTATTACACTTCACAATCGTAAAATACTGAGGCTCCATTTTTCTACAGTGACCAGGAGACAGTGTGGTGGTGCTGGTGGGCGTTAATGTTCATTTTATCAATCTCAAAAGACCCGTGTGGAGGTGAAACACACCAACTCTTTGCAACATCAAACACACAGTCATAAACTGTGATAGAGGGAAGGTGTGGAATGAGCTGGGCAAACACGTTATGATGGAGAAAAGACAGAGACAAAATGAGAGGGAGAGCGATGACTGAAATCAGCCAAGTGCCTTAGCAATGAACAGCCAGCAGTGTGGTCAATGCTTATTTTTGTATGAATACAGATCTATTTATCTAAACAAAGAGGTTTGACTACCAACAGATGGGACGCTGATGGACGACAGAGACTAAAACCAATCAAGGCGCAGAATAATTGCATTCCCTGGATGAGCCAAAAATAATAATATACCCAGTCAATATCGGAGTTATTTGTATGGAGTTCAGTTCATTTTCATCTCATCCAGTTAACTTAATTTGCTGGTCCAGTTGAAATTTTACAGGGCTAGTGAGGGACTCGCAGTATTCATGAAGCGTTGGCTCTGTGTGAAATTCTAAAAAATGTTCTGGCTTTATGGAGGAAAGTATAGTAATATTTTTTGAATGCAAGACAAAACAAAGAAGGGCCGACCTACAGAAGGACACTGTGGCAATGGATGCATTTTGGATTTCCTAATCAGCCAGACTTAACGGGGCCATGTGGACCTCTGCCCCATGTTTAATTTCATCAGACAAAGGCACCCTGGTTATTGCATTGTTTTTTTTAAGTATTCTCAAAGGGAAACTGAATGACAAAAAAGCAATGGACAAAAAAAAAGCAGAATTTGAAGGCATTTTTTTGACAAACAAAAAAGAGAGACAAAAGACAGACACTTCTATCAGCTATTAATTATTATCTTTTCAGAGGTACCTTTTTATGCTTTCATCTCCTACCAATAGTAGAGGCAGTTGTGAATATATTTATTCTTAGTTTTTGCGTGTTGAAGCTCTCCTGTAAGGGATCATGTTATATTAATGTATAGGATGATTCTGCATCTGGTTCAGCCTTCTTACCGCCGACCCACAAAATACAATAAAGGGTGCTACGTAAAAACCTTGTGATGGCAGGCTACTGTGTGACAAATTGACTCATACACACACACACACACACATGCCCTGACCCCCACAAACACACACTCACTCTCTCTCTCTGTTTCCATTACCTTAATGGTGCATGAAAAAACAGCTCGAGGTATGCTAAGCCTGTAAGGCTTGTCCACCAGGATGAGATGAGAGCTGAGCAACACTGATCTCCTGCAGAGCTCTTCATACACTGAAAGATGGACACAGAAGCTGTGTGAAATCTATCACATTGTTGGTATGAAATCCATACAATCCATTCATAAAATAAGGACATGTAAGGGTGCTGGCCTCTGGGCCAAATCATGAATTGTACCATCTCTTTCTGACTCTGTTGCTTTTTTTAATGATTCTTTCTCTCCTCTACTTTACTCTGACTCTTGCTTCTTCCCTCTTTCTCACCTTTGTGTTCTCGTTCTTCTCACCTCTCTCCTCTTCCCTCTCTTTCTCTCTCCTTGCTCTGGCTGTCAGCTCAGCCTCACAGGACAGACAAGGAGAGATGCTGCTCTATATGCTGCTCAACACACAGGTAGCTTGCACAGAAGTGTGTCTATGTATGTATGTATGTGTGTGTTGTTTCGTCTTTCTGCTGTGCTCTTTCCATCCTTTGGTGATGAGTGCAGTTCTTCAGACGCCTCCTCACTCTGTGTTCAAAACTCTGTTGCACAGATAATCCCCCTGTGGGTGCATTTGTGTGTGTGCAAACACGCAGAACGTGCGTGTGTGTATTCAGTGGGGTGTGCCTTTGTTTGTAGGTGTGTGTGTGTGTTTAAGAAAGCATGTGGAGCTGGGTGTTTGCACAGCTCGTTGAGTGTCTGTTTGTGTGCGCGTGACGAAGAGATTGTGTGCGGCGTCACGGCCTCAGTCCAGCCTTAATCCTCTAAGCTGTGTAGTTCACTCATGCCACATCAGCCCCATTGTGTCTACAGACAAAGAAGCCCAGTTAAAACTAAATGCCAGTTAAAGCAACAAACGACTAATTATAGCATCATTCTGTCCATGCTCCTCTCTCTTTTTTTCTTACCTTTAACGATCCCTTCTCAATTCCTTTCCTATGAATGCAGACTGTCTGATTTTTGCAACACTTTTTGCTTTGGACTCATTCCAGCTGTGTGTGCATGTGTATGTATTGTGCACTGTGCTACTTTCGATGCATGCGTATGTACGTGTGTTTGGCCATCTGACAGCTTTGCCATGGTTCATGTGTTTGGGTCCTGTCAGAGCTGTCCTGTCACTGTGTGAAAAAAAAAATCATTCATTTCCCAGAGTTGAGGATGAAAGAGTCTTTAGACTTCAAACGCCTGTGGGCCTCTGTGGCTTAGATTGCTTTTCTCTCTTTCACCACCGCTGTGTCATTTATTCTTTAAAAAAATAGTGTGGTTGTGTCATTGGTTAAGTAGAGATGGCGAGGAGCTGGACAATTAGCCTGATTAAAACACTGTCATTTTGCATAATAGATTTAGCCTGAGCTGCGATAGGCGGATCCTTTCTGAGTGAGCTTGTGGGTGTAAAGGCATGAAACCATATTCTTCTCTGCATAAACATGCAGGGTATTAGAAAATGCACAGTTGAACATGGTTTGATGTCAGTGTAAAGTGATCTATTTAAAAGTCATGGTGCATAGCTGCAGAAGCTTTGGTGTTTGTGCATGACAAATAATTGTGGTTGAGCTGGTCATTGCTCACTAACACACAGGGACACACACACACATAAACATTTATATCATTGTATCAGTGCTGCAAATGTGTGCACATTTCTCTACATACAAATACAAATGCACAAGTAAATAGAGTCAAATTAAATATGTACACAAACTGTACATACAAGCACACGGTGTCGGCTGCAGCACTGTGATGTTATTTGGTTGCTCTGCATTGCAGTAATCGACTCCACTCTTCTCCTCTGCTCTCACCCACAGACAATCACTGGCTCTCAATGGACAACATCAGCAAGTGAAATACCTACGAAGAGAGAGAGCTGCATAGAGAGAGCAGGAGATTGGGGGTGGGGGGGGTAAGGAGGATGCTGAGAGGAAGATGATGAGAAGGTAGGGAAGAAAAGGGACTAAAGAGGACAGAGGGAGATTTGAGGGAGGATGGGAGCAGATGAAAAGAAAGGGAGAAAGATCAGCGAGCGGGTGTTTCCAGGCTTAAGGCTGCTGGAGGACATGTTAATTTGAGAGCTAGTGGAGGGAGATGGAAGTGAGACAAAGTGAAGGAAAAAGTACTTACAGTAGACGTGTGAAACTATATTTGCCGTTGTGAATCCACACATTTCCGGGTGCTTTAGTTTTGTGTCTGCTCTCCGGCATTCGATGCCACCCACATGATCCGTGTAAAGACTTGGAGCTCAATTACTGTACATGTCTGCCAAACAGTTACCATGAGAAGATGAAGATTTCTGTGCCTCTTTGTTGAACTTGACAATACTTATGTACCGTACTGTGAAGCAAAATGACAGATGACTTGGCATGTTGGCTAGGCTAATAGTACGCTGATATGCGTCTCTTAGTGTGTCATTCTACTGTTGCAGTAAGCCAGCGTGGAGACATTAAGATGGCAGGGACTGGGCCCGATTGAAAACATCACAAAAGCTTTATGGGCCTTGTGCTGCAGTTTTCAAAGTGTGTGTTTTATATCTTGTGCACGTTTATAAGAGTTTTAAGGTTTTTGTGTGAATGATCAGAAACAGACAGGAGAATGTGGGTGAGAGAAATTATACTCTTTGAAAGAAATAAATCACTCTGACCAAAACTGTTCACCTGAATTTTAAATCCCCGCACATCCAAAAGGTGTTGAGTGTCCTTCTGCAAGAAGGCGATATTCACCTCAGGTCTCCTGTAACATTCATGAAATACCTCCAGTAATGTAAAGTGGGGAGAAATTTTGTGGGGAAATGCCTGAAAACAATAAAAATAAAAAACAAATAGCAGAACATGGGTTTTATGCTAGAAATAGCATCTGGAAATCAAATTTTCACTCGGATGCTGCTATTATTGATTTTTTAAAATCCAATTTTCTCCCTTTTTGAAATTCACTATATACTGAATATTTGCTGGATTGAGAGCTACAACAATAACCACAAAGCCTCAGGATCAGGGTGCTTCTGAAACAACTATGAGACAATGTTGATCGCTCCATAAAATCTGATTTGTGAATGTGCCTCCCTGCTGTTTCGACTCGTTTCCTCCCCTGTCAGGAGCAAGCCAGGAGCAGAGGATTACAGCCTACCTCAGCACTGGAATGCCTGGTGGCTGCTATTGCACAGCTCCCATCACCTCCTAAATACCCCAGCCGGTGGTTTTAATATTTTGAGGCAGTGGGCCACACAACTGTCGACTTTGCACTTCATTTATGATAAACTTAAGTCAGCCTTAATCTGCGCCCGTCACCGTGTGCTGAACCAGTGTTTGGAGCAACACGTTTATCTTGAGGGGATGGCGAGTGGAGTGGGAGCCAGAGGAAGGCACCCGTTCACAGAGATAACCCAGAATATCTTTTCTCCCTCCAAGAGCCACTCTGAAGCTGGGAGTGTGATTGTGTTTATGTGTTGGGTGCAGGGGAGTAACAGTGTTTTATGGGTGCTGTGCACAGAGGGGAAATCTGAGCTCTCTCTCAACTTTTTCATCACTAGAGCTATTGCATCAGACATCTAAAGTCACTCAACCACAACACAGAGTTCACACATTTTGATTTCCCAATCAGTTACAAACAACAAAAAATCCCTAGCATAGCAGTTCCCTCATTTAATTATTACCACGTACTCTAGTACTTATGCAATAAGACAGTTAGCATTATTTAACAAAACCAGCACAACACAATCACACGAAATTTAAAGTTGCACTAATTGATATATTTACAATAACAGTTGATCCAGCGACTATGGGTAATATGAAATGAGCTGCTGTTATGATGTATCCACAGAATAACCACCCAACTCTGCAGTTCCCCTTTGCCCCGCTGAGCTGTTATGTCTTTTAGCTTGTTGTTTTGGTTTTACAGCCCTGCTCTAATCAACACCATTCCCAGCTACAGCAAGCAGATGTTTTCATTAGAAAAGCCCTAAAATGCCATTATACACAACCTGCCCAGCCCCAAACAGCAGGGAGCCAAAGTTAACAACTAAGGGTTTATAAAGCTAAATATAAAATAAGTTTTGGATTTAAATTCATCAGGTGGCAAGAAACATGACTTCAAATGAATGTGGATGTTACTTTGTGTTTGGTAGGTACTTAAACACAGCTATTGATTGCAAACAAGTTCACCCTATGAACTTTATAAAGTTTAGTGTATTCTACTACTCCCACGAGGCCATAAAAACCAATTAAAAAAGCCTTTAATTCTTTAATCCATTGAACCACACCTTTAAAAACTAGAACAAGAAACTGGCAATTGATTGTCGAATAAATAAAAACTCTCAAGAGTTAACCTTGACTTGAGGAAAATATGATGAAAAAATGTGAAGTTACAAGCACCATCCAAGTCTTCATCAAACACATGAATCCAGAAAGAACAGAATATACAGAACACGTTCTCCCTCATTTATTTTATCCCACAGATTGTGGGTGTGTTTGGGTTTGGGAGGGGATGTACTTCCTACATAGTGAGAACCAAAAAAAACATATTTTGCTAGATGCTGAGGACATTTTTTGGAAAGTCAGGACATTTTGGCTGGTCCTCACTTTGTGAAACACCTATTTGAGGTGACTTGGTTTTAGGGTTCAGGTTAGAATTAGGTTTAGGTTAGGTATTAGGGTAAGGATTAGGGTTAGGCATTTAATTGTGATGGCTAAGGTTAGGGTAAGGGGTTAGGGAATGCATTAGGTCATTGAGTGTCCTTGGGGGACTCACCTTCCTTATGGGAACAGAAAGGCAGCATAAGGTAAAGCATTAAATTTTAGAGTGAAGACTTGGTTTAAGGTTAGATTTAGGTTAATAGTAATATGCTCAGCTTACCG